CTTCAGATTCTTCTTATAATCTTTTTCCTCCCTGTTGGCAAGAAGAAATCAATGCTGAAAATGTTCATTAGGTGGCTGCACTTGTGTGTCTACAGTGCATTTGCAATCAGGGAAGAGGTCCTTCCTTGTGAGCAGTGTTTTAATTATTTAGGGCTGAAAGTTGATGGGCAAGAGACCATTATAGGGCTTATAACCTGATGGGCTTTATCTCATATCAGTCCATTGTCCTTGGACTTCATAGGGTGGCTGAAACCAAGGATCACTTAGACTTAAGTTTTAGGCCCAGACCGAGCACAACTTAATTGGCTTAGGGGTTCCCTGCCCTTGTGCAATGAATATATCCTCTCTTTCTAGACATGGTCTGTACCCATATGGACTTATGTGAATCCTTTGTGGGTTCCGCACCATACAGAATTCAGACCTAAAGAGCCTTGCAACGCCTTTGTATGTGAATCACTAACGGAAATGGTCCTAAGCCCATTACTAGGGTTTAGAGGGAGAGTTCAAACTATGCTTTCTCTACACTCTCTGTTTTTCTCTTTCTCTTCTCCCTTGCTCCCAAAACCCTAGCTCAAACCAGCGTTGGAGACGGCTGATTCTCCATCATCTTTCTGCTGAGATTTTGAAGAAAAACATCAGAGAAGAAGTGGTTCACACAGCTGCATCAAATTCCATTGGTTGGAGTGAAAATCGGCTGAAGCAGTGTTGTAGGATCGACCTCAGTTTTTCAGAAGATACTTCTCCTCAGACTGAAGACATTTTTTCCTTCTACCAACGTACCAACTGCTGCTGTGACACAATATTCAGCTTAAGCACAGCTGAAACACAGGCCCGGAGGAAAGAGAATACTACCAACAACAAGAACCCAGCTGTAACACTTTTCTCAGACCACCTATACCCCTCAGAAGCTTCAAAAAAAAAAAAGAAAAAAAAAGTCTTCTACAGCAATTGGCAATGCCAGCAACTTGGTTACGGTACAACACTAGGACTGTCTACTCAGTCCTTCTTCTAGATCTGTCTAGTAGCTGAATGACTACTGGAAGTCTCCACAATCTAGTAGGGCATAGACTAGGCTGACACCTCCTCTTAGACCCTACTCCCAAAGAGAAACCCTAGTTACATAATCCCTTGGCTACAACATTCTGAACTAGGGCTCTATAATCAGTAACAACAAACAAAAAAAGAAGATAGGAGAAAGGGGAGAAGAAAAGAAAGTTTCCAACTTGTAGAGATTGGACCTTTAGTCATCTGATGTTATCAGACCTGCAATGGAGATTAGAGTAGAAAGTAGAGAGAAGAGAAAACACTCCTCATTTGGAGTGTCTGATGTGTAATTATTTTATGAACTACTGAATGAAAGTTACCATTTACAATAAAAAAATTACATTAGTAGGATATAGTTGAAAAGGATCTTTAAATCCCAAAACACAACATAGCACCCCATTGATGAGATGAGTACAGACTGCATCACCCCAAAACTATATAGGAACATGGCTAAACATAATCTATCATAACATTCTCCTATGGAGCTCAAGTATTGAACTTGGGTGGATAATTCCAGTACTCTTTAGATTTCATCATCATCCATGCTTTATCCCAACTATATGGGGTTGGCTACATGAATCCTTTTTTGCCAATCCGTTCTGTTTAAAGCCATATTGACTATTAAATTATTAGTGCTTAAATCATTTCTTACTACTGTCAATGTCGTTTATGGTCCACCCTTAGCTCTTCTAGCCCCCCTTTGACTCATAACAAATCATAAAAGCACTCTTTAGACTGCATCAACTAGCAGAAAATAACATCCAGCCGTAAAAGGAATATGGCACGGCCTTTATACATCAATAGGGGTGGATTCGAGCCAAGCTGAGCCAAATAACTAGCTATTCGAGCTCGACTCGCCAAGGTAGTACGAAGCTCAAGCTCGGCTTGAGTCAAAAGCTCGTAAGCTCGAGCTCGGCTTGGCTTGACTCGGCTCGAGTTCGACTTGAGAAAAATGTTTTATAAAAATAAAAAATTATATATAAAAAATATTTTTTATTTGATATTTAAAAAATTAAGAATTATAATAATTAGTTATTATTATATATAAAAATAAAAATATTATATCTATAATATTTTTATTATATATATTATTTTTTATAATAATAATAATATTATTATCATTATTATGTAGATATTCGAGCTCAGCTTGCGAGCCTCATGAGCTGAGCCGAGCTCGAGTAGCTCGTGAAGAGCTCAGCTCATGGCCACCCCTAACATCAATGTGCATAATATCACAAGGAAAATTGCTTCTTCTTACTTGGACAATAGGAATTTCTGCTAGCCAACTAGAAACCCTCACATTGTAGACTAAACATTGATCAACCCATTTCGTTTCAACTCAACTCTACTAAGCCTTGTTCCAACTATATGAGGTCAACTACATGAATCCTACTATGTGATTCTCTTTTGTTTTGTGCCATATCTGTTATTAAATTATGGGTCCTCAAATTGTAATTCACTATTTCCACCACAATGATCACTTGAATGAAATTAATATAAGCCAAACATGCAACAAGCAAATCTCCCATTAACGTCATGAGACTTCCAGTCATATTCTTAGAAACCAGATCCTAAAATACACAATGGTTAGGGAAATTGTCTTGGGACAATTTAAAACTTTTGTACGAATACTAACATATTTTAAGACTCCTAATGGATAACAAATTTTTATTTGGTCAAGGAACATGTGATATAGAGGAAAAGTCACCCATCAATCACTCTAATGTCCTTTCCTATAAATAATAGCTGGGGATTTTTCTGTGATTGGCACTTTATCCCTACAAGAGCACAACTTATATGAATAAAATAAAGTAGAAACTCTGGTTTTCTAATCTATTCTCTTGAATAAATAATCCTGGACGTACTATTAAAGTTTCTAGTTGTAGGTGGTGAAGGAGCTGGAGCACCAGATTTTCCAGTAATTCTAGTCTCCAACTAAACTATGTACCTGCTGCAGCAGTCCGCCTCTACTCATGCAATTTGCAAATTGAGTGTAGATGCAATAGAAGTGGATTGTTTATTACCTGATGTTTATACTAGACTACCATTTCACTTCTTTTTAATGTTCTTCCTCAAGGCTTCCAATTAGTTCTACAAGTATGCTTCAAATTGGCATATGAAGCACCTCCAATCTCCTATATTCTTTGGTATGAACTAAAGAGTAGGCCTTAGAAAGAGTAACATCTTCACTAGTAAGGATATGATTGTTTATATTGTCATATTTTGGGTTTAGCCCATTTAGGAAATCAAAATCTCAATTGCTCTCCACTTACTTTCTATAAGTAGCAGAATCCATGTCAATTTCACATTACACTGTCTCAGAATGGTCAATCTCCTACCAAAGAGACTTTAAAGTATAGAAGTATAAAGACAAAAACTTCTCCCACTATTTTGAGATTGTTTACTTCATATCTAAGTTTCTAGGAATGAACAACACTCCATGCACGTGAATGTCTTAGAAAAACTATCCCAAATTTCTTTTGCAATTCCTACCAATAATTCCTAGTCAAATGTGGTCGGATGGAACTCACTTACCACGAGATCACCATGAGTTTTTCTTGCATCTTCCTTTCATTTTTCACGCCTGTAATTTGTAGCTCTACCTCATAGTTAAGGAGATAGCTAAGCTTCCCATGCCCTCTAATGCACATGCAAGCTTATTGTTATTCACATAATCCAATCATGCTTGATAATGGTTAGTTGAATTTGTTTAATAGTCAATGACTCACAACAGGTTAGAGGTATCATTGTTTTAAAAGCCCCTTTTTTGTTGGCTTGGACAATAGATGAAACAAGTTGAGGCAGTTAATCAAGGCAGCGTTTGGCAAGTCTTTCTGTACGGTCTTCTGGGCTTTAACAAGCTTGAAAGACCGAAAATCAGTCTTTTTTGTTTGGTATCCAAAAGATGGAAAGATGAGAAGATGCATGCATGGAAAGACCCGAAAAGACCAAAACGCCAAATTTTGGGAAGCTTCAAATGAAGCTTTCTGGTCTTTCTGCATGATATATGGTCTCTAAATGCATTTTTAAAAGCCTGGTAGACTGAGCTGCTTACCAAACGGTCTTTGTCTTGGAAGACAAGACCCCAAAGGCTCAATATGTCTTTTGGCCATCTGGGCTGATGGAAAATCTTTCTAAAAAGAGTTGCCAAACGGCACCTAATAAGGTTTTTGAATTTTACTAGATCCCCTTTGGTCCTCTAGAATTTTGATCAGAGTTGTAATGTTTACTATAACAACCATCTGGGAATATTAACAACTTTTAATTGTTTGTTAGTAGTATTGTATCTGTTCTGTTTTTTTTTTTTTCCTGATGCATTAATATCATATAACATGTTGGGAGTTGTTCTATGACAAATACTATTAGAAACGTTGTAGAGGGGTATATGTATCTTTTAGCAGCAAGAAATATGGGTCAACTATTTTCTAAGTTATGGAAGAGTTGTGTAGTCTTTGTACCCTTCATTAATCCTATGATCAAGTAAATGAATTATGGTGTGAGGTTGAATCGGCTCTATACCAGAGAATACTATACTTTCTTGTCTTTCTTATTTTTCCGAAGAAGAGTTTTATAAAGGAAGACAATGTTGCATAAAAGTGATGACAGATTAAACTGAGAATAACTAATTCTTTCATTGGTTTATTCAACAACCATATTCCTTGGCCCATTTTGCATAGAATTATCTCTTATTTTGGGAGGAATTCTTACATGCATCATTCATGTACTGTCTGTTTATATGACATGTAACCAATGCTCCTATACTGGTTTCTCTTATAACTTTCTTTTGCATCCATTTTAAGCATTGCTTATATCCAATTTAGTGTAGCTCCAAGTGGTTTTGTTTTCTTGTTTGTTCCCTTATTCTGTGTTCATTTGTTAACTTTTTTTTTTTTTGTGAACATTGTAAAACTCCATATTTTCCGTTTATGTTTTGTGACTAATTGTTTGAAGTACAGGTAATACAACATATGATGATGAACAAGTCAATTATTTTCCAGCTGAACTGGTCAATCATTGTCCATCTTGTTCTGTGATTGAGATGTACCATTGCTACGTGATTAGGTTAAAGAAAAATTTCAAGTATGATGTTCCCTTTAGGGATATTGCCCTTCTTGTAAGGCATAATTTGGGGGCTGATTTTGAAAATTTTTATTTTGACTTGGAAGTTGATTGGGGTTTTGTCACTGTGAACTTGGTGTACAATGGTACCATTCATCTTAGTCCTGATCAGGTAAAATGTCTTGACTTTCTACGGTATGCTATGGTACCATTCATGTTGCTGTTTCACCTATTGGATATTGAATGTTATTCATAGGTTCTAATGGCTAGAAGGTTCCAGATCACTGTATTGAGGGTGCTTATTGACCATAGTATGGATAAAGTGAAGGATGTGATGGATGAAACCTTTCAAAAGCAAATTCTTCCTATAGTTGACTACATACTACTCCCATTCAGTGACAACACAAAATGTTTTGATTGGGAATATGTTATTTATGATGGAAATGATTGGGGCAAGCAAATGCATTATTGCCGCTGCAGGAGTAATGTCCATTGGATGCATACAATAAATGGTATTTTCTGCAGATGCATGCTTGTGAACTCTCTAGTGTTGACTCCTCATAATGGGCATATATATTGTATAACTCATATCTTAGATGACTTGGATGCAAACTCACCTATGAAATGCTACAAGTGCAAGAATGAGGATGAAGGGGTTCCAAGTTATATGGACTACTATCGATCTCGGTATGTCATTAATTCATTGTGAGATTTCCTTGCTTTTTTGTTACCAATTTTTCTGGAAACTATGATTAATAAAAAATCATTTTTAAGAATATTGTTAGTGTTCAATTGACAGGCATGGTGTTGGCTTACTCTATGAAATGGAATCACTACTCAGTGGTAGGCACATCTTTACAGTTAAAAATTGGCTTCAAAGGTCCAAACATCGAAAGGAAAAAGGTAATGGTTGCCCTGCTTTGTCATTCTTATTTACTAATTCAAAAGCTTTCTATTTTCCCCTCATGACAAGATAATATACAAGACAAATGAAAAGAAAAAGGACACACCTGGTGGAAACCCTCCAAACAAATAGTTATAGCTTTTAACTGACAACCGAAAAAAGAAGTTTCATCTTTAACACTTAAAGTGAATATCATATAACCCATGGAAGGATAAACCAAGAAGATGTAAATTTCTATAGCATTATCCAACTCATAATAAAAAGTTCTCTTATCATGCTATCTGATTCATCTTCTTGACTGAGAATAAAAAGTTCTCTTATCATGCTTTCCTAGTCATATGGAAAACACCCTTCTAATGTTGCAATCACTTTTGAGACCATTTGGGATTATCTTCAGCTCTAATATTGATATGGCTATTGGGTTTGGTAATGAGTTGTGCTTAGTAAATATGTTCAGCTCAGTCTAGGATGTCTAAAAAAGGAGGGGGTCTACAGTTCCATTAAGTAGAGATAAGGTTGGAGCCTGGTGGCGTTGGTTAGTGGGGAGTGAAGACATACTTAGGTTTCTTGAAATTCACACTGGTTATGATGTAGGACCACTTGTTTTGTACCAAGTTGATTTTTTTGAAGATAAATAATAAAGAAAATTTATTAGAATAAAACTGGAACGGTACAAAGTTGATGAAAAATCAGAAAAAGGAAAGATAGAGCGACAAAGGAAAGAAAAAAGAAGAAGATACATCAAGGTGTTTCACTTCACCCAATTCCAAGCAAGACCAAAGACCATCCCCAAAAGGCTCTCTAAAAACCCCTGAAAACTTTTCTTTGCCTTTGAAGCGCCTTCTATTTCTTTCCTTCCATAACTCCTATCAAACTGTGAAAGGAACACAAGACCAAACAATTTTTACCTTCTTGGACCTGGCTAAAATTGGCCAACAATCAAGGTTATCCTTTATGTTTCTAGAAATTCCACAAACTAAACCAAAAATCTTGAAAGAAAAACACCAAACAAAAGAAGAAAATCTACACAGAACTAGAAGATGAAGGGCATCTTCTGCAGCTTCACCGTATCAATAGCATCTGTTAGTCATATGAATTCCTTTTATTTTTAAGTGATCTTGAGTCAWAATTCTGTCTAAAGCTGTCATCCTTGCAAGGACTTATAGTATGACTTACCCATGAACAATAACAACCCATTTATGCATTCCTTCCACCATCTTGAATCACCTCTATCAACCTTTACTCCACCAATTGAAGCCTGGCCAAAAGCCTCGTGCACCTCCCAATCCAGCAAAGGTCTTCTAATGTTGGGAACCAAACAACTCTTCCTTGAGTCACTTAAAAACATTGAGAAATTGGGATGTGTTTCTTAAATTATACAGTCTTGGACATGCATCTAGAGGTGGAGTGTTGGTTGTACTTGTTTGTTGTGTCACTTGCATGGTTCGTGCCAWAGCGGGGAGGGGGCACAACACATGGGTAGGCACATTTTTTATGAAGGAAAAATTGAAAGAAAAAGAAAGAAAATTTGTAAATAAATAACTTAACAAGATAGAAAACAAATTGAAAAAAAAAGGTAAAATTTTATTCCATATGAACTTTAATGTATACAATTGTTCATATATGAAATAATAGAATGAAATAGTGTAATAAAAAATTGAAAATAAAAATATACAAAAGAGTTGACAATAAATCACAAATGACTTGGATTACAATTTATAATTTCTATTTTCGATGTAAACTAGCAGGGACCTATGCGTTGCACAGGCTTTGTTAATAGAAAGCTAAAAGATAGAAACACATAAGAGTAGAGAATTGTTTTATATTTTAACTTTTTAAATAATTAATAATTATTTATATTTCATATACTATTTTTAATAAATTTTTGCAATACAAAAAATAACAATAATTAATTTTAGTTAGGGTTGTCCATAAAACCAGTGAAACCGACCAAACCAACCAACCCAACCCAACTCGACCCAACTTGAACTGACCAACACAACCCAACTCGGGTTAATTTTGGTTATGCCATTTGTAAACCGACCAAAATCATATCGAACCAACCATAGATATATATTAATATTTTATATTTTAAATATAATTTTTTAATATGGAAATTGAAAAATTCTCATATTTTGTAGTCTAAAATATTTTATATTATCAATTTAAATCTTTTAATAATATCGTTGTAATTTTTTAAATTTAAATTTAATTTTTAATTTTAGATCTTTTGAACCGACCAACCAAACTGAAAACTTACCTAAACCAATACCAGTGTTTTCAACTTCTCATTAACCTAGCTGGTTGAAGCTCCGAACCGTCACCCGGCCTTGCTTTTGTGTCCAACTCAGTTGAAACCCACCCTTGGGTAAAAAACTGTTAACTTGGTAAAAAAGCATCTGACCTAGACAATTCAATTGTTGACCCGTTCAACCCATTCGCTAGGTTACGAGTTGCACACTTAATGTATGTGCAAACTTTCGGAGGCCATAACTTTACACTCCAATGTCCTATTGAGGTGATCTTTTTTTATTTTGGGTAACTTTTTGATATCTACGCGTCCCAAGGTGCAATGGGCGCCTTGCCTTGCTATTTTCACGCAAGAAACCTTTTGGAACGGTTTAACCCATCTGACCCAAACAATCGAATTGGTGACCTGCGACCTGGAGGCAAAAGCAGGTCGGGTCCGGGGCTTAGCCTTTAGCCACATCACCCTGCCTTTCATTTCACCATCGTAAAAAGGTAGAAACTTCCCAAACATTATTAAATATTATAATGGCAACATGAAAATATTATCTATGATTATAATAATATTTTTAATTATTTGTCTTATTGTCTTATTTATTTTTTCTCTTATTAGTATTTTAGATATTTTTACTCATCTTATTCAATGTTTAAGTTTTATCTTAAACTTTTTTTTTTTTTGAAAAAAGTTTTGACTTAAAAATTAATATTTTACTACATTGATGAAAAATTAAATGCATGTATTAACAAGGTATAGAGAGAGAGAGGGTGGGGAAGAGGTGTTAGAATTAGATGGTTTACTGTGATGTTTTGGGAGGAAATTTTAGGTGGGGGAGGTAGTTTAGGAGAAATTTTAGGAGAGGAGATTATTTAGGTTATTGGGGGGGGGGAGATATTAGAACTAGATGATTTAGTTTGAGAGAGAGAGAGAGATCTTAGGTGGATTTTTATGGGGAGAAAATTCCTATACTGCTTTGTTTTAGTATATATATTTATATATTGTAAAATTGAAATAGTATAATAAGATGCAAAACATTTATGTTAGATATTCAATATAGAGCCCCCAATGGCTAAATACAAGAATGCTCCCCTCTAACTATATGTTTATTACTGTTAGAGGAGGAACTTAAGTCATTTTGTGCCCCCTAAGGATAAAATAGTAATTTTGTGCCCCTTTCTAATGTGGTGTGCTGACATGGTTTAGAAAGGTTGAGTGAAATTTCATGATCCTTTTCCAAACACAAAGTCCATAGGCCAACCTAACCTTCCTTGAGTCCCACCCAAAACTTACTACCCTATATTTACAAGCAACCACCTTTTGCCAATTGCCACAAAGCCTCCCTCTCCTCCCCAAACCTCCAAAGCCATTTCCCCAATAAAGCTTTATTAATCACCCTCACCATCCTAAACCTAAGCTTCCATCTTTTTTTCTTTTGATTTGCAAACCTAACCCCACTTCATAGTTGATACTTTTTCTCTAATGCTTTTAAATTCCAAAGAAAATATCTCTACATTTTTTCAATTGAGTTTGCCACCCCAGCTGGAATCTTTAAAAGTGACTAGTAAAAAGTGGGTAGATTAAAGAGAATACTTTCAATAAGAGCAATCGAGGGATTACACTCTTGGAAGCTATTTTTTTTTGAGACGATTGATAGAAAGGTTCAAAGAGAAGAAGAAAGGTCCTAATTTGGTGTTCATTAACCTAGAAAAGGCTTATGGTAGAGTTCGTAGAAAGATCATATACTATTATGTTGGGTTTTGGAAAAGAAAGGGGGTCAAAATAGGTATTTAGTCCTAATAAGTATGAGGGGGAACAACCAATGTTAGAACACCGGTGGAAGAGACTTAACATATTTAGGAAGAAGAAGGTCCATGGTGCATGTTGTCTGCGGATGGCATATTTTTAATTTATGAAACTGATGAAGGATTAAATGCAAAATTAAGCTTATGGGCAAATTCCCTAGAAACAAGAGGTTTTAAAATAAGTAGGAATAAAATAGAGTATATTACATGTAATTTTTTTTATCAGTAAACATGTATTTTATTAAAATTCAGATTGTAAACAGTATATATAACTTGGTGATGGGACTATTGATCCCCCTTAATCACACTATTCTATCCCTCATTATAGTGCAATCCAAAATAATTGCTGTCTCAATGTCCCCTGTTTTGCTAAACCGTCAGCTAACCCATTTGCACTTCTTCGGACCCATTTAAATTCAGCCTCAACCTCCTTTGCAATCTTCTCCACTTCACGATTCACATGTTTGTTGCCCATGAAATTACTACTTTTAAATCCCCTTCCACTTCAACATGTTTGTGTCCTAGCTGTTTGGCTAGCTTTAACCCTTGTAGTAATGCCAATAGTTCAGCCTTTAGTGAGTTTCCAGTGCCAATCGGTCCTGAGAACATACCCAATATCCTCCTTTCAGAATTTCTTAATACTCCTCCTATTCCTGAGATGCCTGGATTTCCAAGGGAGCTCCCGTCAAAATTCAGTTTTACTTTATTGACTTCTGGTGGTTTCCGCTCCAGCCTTACTTTATCTCTTACTCTCGAAGAGTGTGCTACTTCAGACAATGTTCTTAGAATGTCTGTGACTGAGAAGACTTGAAAGCTATCCAAAGGTTTTACCCAATGGGCTACTTTCACCTTGATACTATCAATCACTTCCTCTATTGTTCTACTTTTTTCCAAGAAATTCTGTTGTTCCTCTCTTCCCATATTACCCAGCAAATTGCTGCCTTTGTTGCTTTCCACATTACCATCCCTCTTTTCTTTTGTTGTCTCAAGAATTCATGGTTGAAGAGTCCTACCACATCTTGAGGGGGAACCCACCTGCAGCCAAAGAGAGTACAAAAGAATTCCCAAATTCGAGTCACAAAAGAACATGATATCATTAAGTGAGAAAGGGTCTCACCACTTTCCTTACACAACGAGCACACATGAGGAGAAAGGCAAATGTATGACATTCTTTTCTGCAGCATATCGCAAGTGTTTACCTTACCAAGGAAAATTTCCCAGCAGAAGGCTAGGATCTTCGGGGGAATAGGCTTGCGTCAAATTTCTTTCACAGGGAAATCCCCACCTAGGAGGATGGGGGAAGCAAGTACTTTGAAGAAAGAGGAGCAATAAAAGAGGCCGTTTGGAGAGCCTACCCATATTCTAGAGTCTTCCAGCGAAGGGTCCAAATGGATTTGCCCTACGAGGTCCAGCAATCGGATTAAAGACTCACACTCATTTTCCTTTAGTCCCCTTCTAAAGCCCAAATTCCAGTTCACACCATTTGGGCACGATGTTCCCAACATGGATATAGCTTCCCCCTTGAGGTTAGATAGCGCAAAGAGATCTGGAAATTGGTCTTTAAGTGGGGTTTCCCCTACCCACAGATCTTCCCAAAACAGAATTTTATTACCTTGTCCCACATCGAACCAGATGGAATTGAGGAAAGTAGGGTAGATTTCATGAATTGCTTTCCAAGGAGAAGCTGAAGAACTGTGAAGGGAAACTTTTGCATCCCAACCATTTCCATCCAAAGGAAATCTCTCATATACTTCTCTAAGCACCTTGCTACCCCGGAAGGGATTCTAAAGGTTGAATGGAAATAGGTGGGGAGGTTTGCTAGAGTGGCTCTAATCAAGGTTATTCTTTCACCCAAAGAAATATAATTTCTCTTCCAAAGGGCTAACTTCCTATCAAACCTTTCTAAAACTGGTTTCCAGAACCCAACTGACCTGGGATTTTCTCCTAAGGGTAGACCTAGGTAACTGATAGGCCAGCTTCTGGTTTCGCACCCCAAGATCTCTGCAAATCTTATTAGTTCTCCTTCCTCCAAATTGACCCCTACAATTCCACTTTTGGTCCAATTTATCCTCAGCCCTGTCACTCCCACAAAATTATTCAGCAGCACCCTCGAATTTTCCACCACTTCCTCATTGTTTCCTTCATAAAAAGAGATAGTGTCATCTACAAATTGGAGATGGGTAACAATCTCCCGATTTCTACCTACCTTCCAACCTCTAATAAGGCCTTGAGCATCAGATTTTGCCACCATTCTGCTTAACACTTCTGCCACTAGGGTAAACAAGAATGGGAATAGAGGGTCACGCTACCTAATTCCTCTCCTAGCTGACAAGAAGTCCTTTTCTGTACCACTGATTAGGATTGAGTAATGAGCTGAAATTAAACATCCTTTAATCCAAGATCTCCATCTAGCTCCAAATCCGGGTATTTCTAATATTCTTAGGACTTCCCAATTAACTAGGTCATAGGTTTTTTCTAGATCTACTTTACAAACCAACCCCTTTTCTCTACCCTTTCTTCTTTCCACAACGCATTCATTAGCCACCAAGATTTGATTTACAATCTGCCTTCCTTCTACAAAAGCACCTTGGAAAGGAGAGATGATCGAGGGTAACACCATTTTTAGTCTTTCTGATAAGACCTTTGACAGAATTTTGTAAAACACTCCCAATGAGATAACTCAATATGACCATTTCCGGTGCCTTGGTTCAATAATTCGGAACAAGGGAGAAATTGAGGGGCATGTCGTCYAAAAAATTGGAGCAAGTTGGGCAAAATGGAGGGGTGAATCTGGACTTTTGTGTGATAAGAGAATATCACTTAGATTAAAAGGAAAATTTTATAAAACAATTGTGAGGCCAGCTATGTTTTATGGAATAGAGTGTTGGGCAGTCAAGAAACAACATGTTCAGAAAATGTGTGGTAGAAATGTGAATGCTAAGATGTATGAGTGAAAAACTGGAATGGATAGGATCAGGAATGAAGCCATTCATAGAAACCTAGGAGTAGACTAAGATGGTTTGGTCATGTGCATAGAAGACCACCAACAACCTAGTTGGAAGAGTTGATTTGTTACAAGTGAAAGGGGCTAGAAGAGCGAGGGGTAGACCAAAAAGGACATGGGTAGAAGTTGTAAGAAATGTATTAAGCACTAATAGTTTAACAGTGGATGTGAGTTTATATATAATGGATTAGTGAAACAGGATTCATATAGCCAACCCCCACTTTACTTGGCCTAGCCCAAACATTTTCTTTTAAAGCCTGTTCCTAACATTGCTTAGTCTCATATGTAATTTGCTTTTGCACCCCTTGTCCCCATCATCTGTAATCAGCCCACTACTCGAACCTTCCTCCTTCATTACCCTCTAAAATGTTGTTTTTTCCCTTATGCCTTACCCTCCCTGTCCTTTTGACTTCATCCTCCTCTTGCCTGTTCTTCTCCTCACCTGACTATTCATCTTCCTTTCCACTCCAAACCTCCCCTTCTCTCTACCCCTTGGACCTCCATCTTCTATTTGCAATCTACTTGAGAAACCATCAAGCAAATGTTGGATCGACCCCCTCTACAACTTTTCTTATCTCTAGTAACTAACTTGCATATAATAGATTGATGCTCAATTGAATGAATTTAGCATCTTCTGGTTTAACCAATATTCTTGTGAACTGGATATGATGCCATCATTTGTTGTGGAAGCCAAATCTTCTGAATTTCTTCCAAGAATTTCCATTCAATCTAAATGTCAGAGCTCCATGTGTGCAACAGCATCCCGTACACATTGGTCCAAATGAAGCAACTTTTCTGTGTTTTTAATTTGTCCTACCGCTTGCAACCATTTATCTAATCGTAGCTGTGTGTTATCACCTTTTCTACATCTCCCTTTTTCTTAAAACTTATCAAGAAATGGTCTTACCTGTGAAAAAACCCATTTGATGCTTACCCATCTATTGACATCAACTGAATCAGGATCTGAGTTGATGAATCTTCCCATTGAACACCTGTACAAAAACTCCAATCTCTCCAATAACTTTCCTATTTGTCAACACTTCTTTTTCTGCCTTTGCAATTCTCCAGTCACTGTTCTTTGGTCCTGTCGCAAGCATGGACATTGTCTTATGTGCAACAATAAAAAACTAAAGAGTAAAAACAAGAAGTGATTAGTTTAGTAATTCCTTAGCTTTCAAAAAGAAAGGATATGGGAACATGGAGAAGATAAAATTCTTTGAAGCATTAATAGAATCAGAAGTTCCCCTTGTTTCAAAGAGATGATGGGTTACATTTCATTTGATGTTCGAAGGTGTAATTCTAAAGAAATCTATGAACTCCTATGTTTTATACATTTATCTTTTCATTGTAGTTTAGTTAACTATTGAAAAGAAAAAAGTAAAAATGTGAGATGACCAACTCTGGTTCTTTTCATTAACATAGAATGATAGAAACATCTATAAGGCTTTCGGCTTAGGGCTAAGGTACAACCTGGCCATTAGTTCTTTAATGTGGACCTTGAGTGTGTGTCAAATATATTTGTTGTTTTAGTATTTAGACACTTTATTTCTTACCTTAATTTCTTCTTTTATTATAGTAAGGGAAATTATCCTTTTCTTTGAATCCTCATATTGTTTGTTTCTTTTGTGCAGAGCCTAGTGGTGCTACCGTTGAACTGCCTTCTGAACTTTGTGTGATCATTTTGTCACCCCTTCCAATTGATATTCTTCATTCTTTCTCTTTGGTTCCATCTATCATGCATAGGATTGAATCTATGCTTCTTGCTCTCAACTTGAAGAAGTTGCAATTGGATCACTACATGCAAAATGTTATTATTCCACTTGATAAGGTATTTTCTATCTGTAGCTTAAATGTAGTCATAGAAAATTAAGTATACATTCTTGTTGGTGTGTTGGCAATGAGGCATGTATTTTCTAGGTAGCCAATAAAAAGCCTTAAGTTTTAGTTTTCTATCGCCAAAATGATGATCATGTATGCATTTTTCAATAACATGTCTATGGTATTTGTTGAGCAGAAGAAGAAGAAGAAGAAGAAAGGAAGGAAGAAGAAGAAGGAGAAGAGAAGAGGTTGCAGACTCAAGGCCTCAAAAGAACTGCTTCATGCGAGTGAAGCATTTGTATTTATACTATATTGGCCGTACAACACAAGAGGTCTACAAAATTACAAAAATACCCCTACGGGCACTAAACCTGTGTACAGTATATACAATACATCTGTCAACACTCCCCCTCAAGTTGGGGCATAGATATCAATCATGCCCAACTTGTCACAGAGATCTTGGTGTCTGGAATGGTTTAGCCCTTTTGTAAAGATGTCTGCTAGTTGGTCTTCAGAGCTGATGTATGGAGTGCATACTTCGCCTGTGATGATTTTCTCT